CATTCACAGTATCACCAACACCAAGTCGAATGTTAACAACAACAACAACAGCAACAACAACAACAACAACACCAACACCACCACCACCACCACCACCAACAACAACAACAACACCAACACCAACAGCAACAGCAACAGCAACAACAACAACAACCACAACAACAACACCAGCAACAGCAACAGCAACAACAACAACAACAACACCAACACCAACACCAACAGCAACAACAACAACAACCACAACAACAACACCAGCAACAGCAACAGCAACAACAACAACAACATCAGCATCATCAGCATTATCGTCATCATGAGCAGCATCACCACCGTCATCAGCATTTAGATGGGAATGAAAATAACATGTAGCTGGGTTGGATAGTTTGAGTTGTCTACCTGACCTGGGATCAAAACTGTTTTTGCCCTGGGAACCTTGAGGTGGTCACTTTTTTCAGGTCCACATCCTTGCAACAGGTCCCAAAAATTCCAGGGTCCTCTGAAAAAAGGATGTTTCCCAGCTGCCGTTGAGACGTCGTGGCAGTTGATGCCAGGGAAGTGGCGTATAGCTTAGTCAATGCCATGGCCATACTGCCAATATTTTTCCATGTTATGTACCACTTTTAGGGCAAACGAAAGCAGTGCTGCAACGGCGCTTGCCTGCCACTTCCAACGATATGGGCTAGTTCCACCTTCAAGCACTTTGCAGAACTGCCACATATTTAGATGATTAGCCAAATTGATCAGCTCAAATCATTATTCTTGTCGCATCTACCCCTTAAATTCTAACATATAATTATGACCCTCAGTTGACCGATCAAAAAAGATCAAACATATGTGATATAAATGGGTAAACGTGCTAGTTACCAATTTTGTTACACATGAATTCAAGGGTGGAGGTGTAGCTTAGTACATCCCCTTAAGCCGTGCCATGGCGCAGCTGCTCTTCTTGGCCTCGCGGCCCGAAACGGCGCGAAATCCGTGACATGGCAGAAAATGGCAGAAACACATGGGTGAAGGTGGTGCATACGCCTAGTATTGTATATAGTAATAACCATTAACCCATTACTGTATATAGTAGTTATATATAATTGTTTATTCATTGCGAATGAAACACAAAACCCATGTTCAATTTTATTGCCGCGATTATTCAGCTGTTGAGACCTATGATGCAGTGGTAGCATTACATATGTCATAGTACGTGTGTCCGTGTAATTGTATACTGTACACGTAAAGTGCCATTTAATCATTTACAGAGGGGTGAACCGCAATCCTTTTATTGATGTTGAAGTCGTGTGTTTGCTCCATTGGTGCAGCTATCTTGGTTGTTCTGGCAAGATTTCGAAAGCCAGATGTTGTAACGCCATGTTGCATACTTATAGAGGTGGTTGAAGCCAGATCTTCGTTCTTCAGTTGCAATAATTGCAGCTGTCTCCACTTTCAATAGCTCAGAACGCCAGCACTTTCATGGCGATTCAACTGCGCTCCAAGTCTTGATGGCTTCTTGTGGCTTAGAACCACCAAAAACCACCAACATCTACGTTAAAAAGAGGCTCATCTTGACCATCCATTGCCATCCATTGGGGGATCAATCCCCAGGTCCCTAGGCCTTCGGGGCCTTCGGGGCCTTCGGGGCCTTCGGGGCCTTCGGGGCCTGCGGGGCCTGCGCCTTGCACCACACACGGCAGCCCCACAGCGCCGTGCAGCGCGGGCCCTGGCCGTGGCCGCGATCTTCGCTGCGGCGCGCGGTGAGCCCCGCGGAGCGCGCAGCCAGCGGAATGCACAGAGTCACCTGGCGATGCCGGTTGTTTTGGGCGATGAGTGTGGATGTCATGGGACATGGGATGGTTAAAGCATGATATAATATATAATTATATATAATATATATAAATATATATGTATGTTTGATTATGTTTGCATGTATGTAGATGTGATTTTTTATGGCATGAGTGATACAAATGATACAATTACATGATGTAATTGGTACATTTTTGATAAATGATATGAATGGTGATAACATTGGAATGTATATCCAGGAATGTGCGACAATATGATTAATGTATATCAAGTGACGAAAATTGATAAACATACAATGTCGTGCCCGTATAGATGGCTGATTAGCTGAACGAAGTAGTGTATCTAGCGATTATGGTAGATGAATGCATCTATATTTATGTATATATATAATATGTGTATATATAGTTATTTGCAGGTATAAACCGACTTATAACTTGCGGCGCCACCTTTTACATATGGAAACAATTTAATTAATAACTCAATTTTGGCAGACATCAAGGCTTATCAAGGTATCAAAAGCCGCAGTGTATCATTGGGAATGGCACATTAATCCATTCCGGCTGGGATTTGTTTAACGGCTGGGATCAGTTGCTATAGATGGTACCCTCCAGCAATCGAACATGGTTTGTTCAAACATCAGCCATTTTGGTTGGATGATTTTCCCAATCGCCAGGTGTGAGTAGGCTATCCTAAATTGTCCCAAAGAGGTGTAAATGTCCTTACTAGACCTTGGTTTCCGGGGGCTGTTTAAATTTACACGGGGGAAGGGACCCAGGGATGGCGATGGAAACTTACCCCGATGGAAACATCTTCGTTTTCTGTGGCTCCACCTGGCTCAGCGCTGAGTCCCGACAGCTGAAGGTGATTTATAACCCATATAGGATCCATGTATCTGGGTAAATTATAACGACCTCACTGCGACCTCACTATAATCATATTTAGTAAGGGGAATCATCCCAAAATGGCCTTGATTCAGGGTAGTGAAATATTATAATTTACCCAGATGTATGGTATATTGATGGTAAATGTTTCCATATATAGCATACATGGATCCTATGGGTGAGGGAACTATTGTTCTAAAAAATATGCCCCAAGAGACATGTGTCTTTTCCCAAAGTCATCACGCGTCAAAATATGTCAAAATGTTGCCATGTTTTTGAGAAGTCCATTCCTGTGACAGAGGTCCCGAGAATCTGCGCTTTGCGGACTCTGAAGTAATGATGCTGGTCAGCATCACTTCCGCCAAGCAGAAGGGCATGGGGTTGCTGCGGCGTGGTTTCACGACGGGCAATCGCATGAATAACGCAGTTTAGACAAACAATCTATATACGGGTAAATATAGCATTTTCCCACTGAACGTTATAATTACTTTCGAACATTGGTTGCTGAGTAATACCAACTGATACTACATGATACTGCTCTCATAGTTTTCAATAACTAATTATAGTTGCTACGTTCACCAGCCGCCACAATACTCACAACTGTTCCGAACTGATACCAAATGGGATAGATATAATAATTAGTTCAGCGACTTTGTTACAACAGTAACCGGTTTACTAATAGAATTTCCTCCTTGCTAATCACTGTATTACTGCTCGCCTCTTATTGTTCAAACCAAGAATGACTCATATATAATAATGGTTAGAGACATTAATGTTACCAATCACTATTATAGAAATATATATATATAATATAACTACCTTTTTTAGCTATAGCTAAAAGTACTATAGACCCTAGTTATACTAGTAATGTTCAACAACTCGGCAAACAATCTGGGACCCCACCTTCTACTTCTAGATATGCATTACCCATTGATCATAAAACCCTTGTGATATCAAATTAATTCAATTACTGTGATCATGCCATAACTATTATTGTTCATTCAATAATCCAGATTGGTCCATAACTACTATATCAATGACCATTTCAGGAACCTAAATTGGAGGTACCCTTTGGTAAACTAACATAGCTATTGAAAATTGCCATTTGTAGTTGTTTTTTCCATCAAAAATATTGATTTTCCATAGCTATGTTAGTTTACCAGAGGGTACCTACCATAGATAAGGCCTATTTTTGAGGGCCAAATTTCAAGGAATATCCCCACAAAATATGGCCAAACATATGGCACAGAACCTCCATATTTTAGGATTTTGCAAATGCGCACTGAAATGATTCCATCCCTAAATTATGGATGGGCTACAATACAGTCAATGATATAGCTATAGTACAGTCAATAATCATCAATAATCAACATTGATCCATAACTATTACTGGCTCTATAGTATGTTGATTGGATTTTATTCCCTTATAATATTATTGACTATATTGGCCAATCAAAATTCCATATAGTCATATTATAACTATCTTGATTGGATCTCCCTAGCGCTGCACCTGCTGCCTAGGAAAAGCCTTCCAGGCTTCGTGTCGCCCGTCGTGCCAGCGCAGCACCGCAACGACGCGGTGGTCACGTGGATCACTGGGTGACGCGGCGATATTTTCACTGGATTGGTTGAAGGGAAAATCTACAGGAAATCATGTTTTTTCCTATGAAAGATAGGGGGTTCCTGCAAATTTTCCCTTAAACCAATCCATTGATATTTGATGGTATTTTATGGGATGTAGATGGGATATAGATGGAATATGAATGCGATTTTTGTGGATCTAGATCCAAGAAAGGGATAACGACCATAATAGGGATGGGAATATCAATGGGATCCCATCAGCTCAAATCCCATTGATATCATCTAAATATACCGATTCCTGCTGGTTTATCCCCAGCAACCCAAGATTTCTTTGGCATGGGTGGAAAGCCGTAAGCAAATCACCAATGCATCGCCGGACTTGCGAGAACCGTTTCAGCTTACCAGCGGAGAAAATAAGGAAGCGAGTGCAAGTCTACCTGTCTGGTGAGAAGAGTGGTCCTTTTCGGGAGCCTAGGCTCCAGGCGACATGTTTAGTGGTGCCGCGCTATGGGGATTGAGAAACCAAGAACCAAATGGTTGCTGCTTTTTGGTTTAATATACAGTAATTCAAAAACTGGCTGGTGGCTTGGAACATTTTTATTTTTTCCATATACTAGGAATAATAATCCCAACTGACTAATATTTTTCAGAGGGTTGAAACCACCACATTTTCCCACATTTTCGGACTGCGTGCATGCTCAGTAAGAGGGAGCGAAGCACCTCGGTCTCTATCAACAAACTAGGAACCTATGGGAGGTCCAAACCAATGCAACCGTCTTTGGTCGCCAACGGCAACTTCTGAAGGATGTCAGCTCCACGGGAACAAGGACCATCCAAGTGCTTCATGATCCAATGATCCACCTGCTGCAGGGAGCGAGAATCCCACGGCACGGAGGCTGACGGCAAAAAAGCCATGACCACATCAGATTTGGGTTTGCATTGTTGTAACTCCACCTGGATTCCAGACTCAGCCCAAAACGCTTTCAAGAATCGTCTGAACCAGCGGACTCTTCGTCGAAAAGGGTGATCTTCCGCGGCCAAAAAGGGCCTACTCTCCACATCAACCCATTACTGCTGCACCACCAACGGGCCAGGATTGCCCCATGACAACTGAAAATCAATGTACAATTGTACAAACGAAATCCACTGAATCGAAGACTCATCTGCTGCAACAAAACGCGTCTGAAGCCAATGAGCAGCACGACGCGCATGGGCTGTGCCAAATTGACGTGCGACACCGGGAGGAAAACTCCCATCCCAGTTACCAAGCACGAACCCAACAGGAAACTCACGCACTGATTTGGGCCCTGAAGCGACCGGTGCAGGTACCTGGACACTACGAACCTGTCGTCGACCCACTGCCAAATGAACTGCCAAAACTTGTTTGTAAAGGGTTTCGGTTGCTTGTACTGCTGCGACATGAGCTTCCCATTGCGACCAGAACTCCGGTAGTCTTGTCTGGTTCGCCAAGCGAGCTGCCCTGTCAGCATAGTCATTGTGGAAAAACTGCCATGCTTCCTCACGCGACTGAGCCAAACTGACATGTTTGTGGGCAGCCACTTTGTGAAAACGCACTTTGTCCCGCCCCAACGTAGCAACGGAGTCCGAGATCCACCACCACAAATCTGAGTTGGACCGGTTGTGATTGATTTTGCGGTTACCCCATATGTAGTTGTAAAACCGAAGTATCACACCTTGACAGTCTGTCCAGATTTGCACCGGGGCCTGAAAAACTGCAGCCCAATGTAAAACAAATGCAACTGCAAAAAGTTCCGCCCTGAATGCCGTCTGACATAGTCCTGGAAGGTAGGATGCACACATGACAGAAGCCTGACCTGGACTCCACAACGCATCACACACAGGGGCAGTGACCACAGACCAAGCAGCAAGACGGTACAGAGGTTGAGAGGAATGGAAACAAGAGCCATCGGTAAACACATGATTCCAAGTGCCCGGCAAAAGTCCACAAGTGGGCGACGGGACATCCGCAGGCAAACTCCCCAACAAGCGCATCCAAGCATCCCAAGTAGGGGGAAGAAGGGCCCAACCACGCAACGACAACGCCGGAGGGATCGATTCCAAACAAGTCAGCACGTCAGGTGCAAGCTCCTCACGGAGGTCCTGGTGTTGGATGCACTCCCAGTACCTATGACGGAGATGGTCAGGCTGACCACACCAAGGGCACTCGTCGGTCTGATCAGACCATTTGGACTTGTAGCTCTCTGTGAACAGGGAGCCGGCCAAGCTCGTGCGGTAAAGGGCCTGGTCATCAACAGTCAGAGCAGAGAGCGCTCTGCGTGTGGCTGCAACATCAACCTGCCACAAACCCTGGAACTCATGACGGTGGGCAACCTTGGCAGCGACAAAATGATTCCAGGCCCATTGTAAGCGGGCTTCGACCTCAGCATAGTTGGCCCGGTGCAAGTCAAAGGGCCCAAACTGATCAACAACCCTGCCTCGACTATCCAGACACATTCCCACCTGCTGAAGGCGCCCCAGCACGATGGAAGCTAAGGAGTTGGGAGGTAAGTCCAGGTCCCCACTAGCCAAAGGTGCAACCTGAGAACTCCAGAACTCCTCAGGGCACTGCTGACGGACCGACCGACAAGTCCAAACCAAAGCAAGCAACTGGGGGTCAACCAAGGGTTCAACCAAGCCAAGCAGCAAGAGAGGATTGACGCCAGGGCGCTGGAGACCAATGGACTTAACTGCTTTCCGGCGGAGGTCAAGCCAAACATTATCACCAACAGGAGCACTGGAAACAGCATGCAAGCCACGGGGCCACGCCACCGACCTCAACATGTAAAGCTTGGCAGCATACCTGGCTTTACTGGCAGTCAGCTTAGGCCAGAAATCGTCCAACGAAGCCATGCGCTGGGTCAGCGTGTGATTGGTATGTTGCTTGGAGATACCAAGATGTCCTCCCAGTTCACGGGCATGGTGGAGAACACCAAGACCACCAGCACGCATGTCCTGCCGCACAGATGCAGTAGTTGCCCAGCCAAACGTTTTCTTCCGATCAACTGTGAGATCAAGTTGGGAGGCAAACTGTTCAAGCAAATCCAATTGACGAATGGCAAAGTTGGGATCCCAAGTCAAAGTCTGCCAGTCATCAACATACGAAAGGACTCGAATGGACGGGGACTGAGCACGCATCCAACAAGCAAAGACATGGTCCACCAACATCATACCAAAAACGCTAAGCCCACAACCCTCAGCCAATCCAGTAGAGGTATGGAAGCCTTGGGAGTAGGAGTCACGGACCTTGAAGTGGCGGCACATCAAAGACAGAGCACCAGCCCAAGCAGTGGTGACCTCATGAGGGACTCCAACCAGCACTGCCATGCACAACGCAGGGAACCTGGGGATGCAGTTGAAACATTTCTCAATGTCTGCTGACACCCCACACAAGGGAGAGTTGGAGGCATATGCTTGCTCTATCTGCAGCATGAGGTGGTGCCACAGGTCAGCAGCTTGCCTGCCCTGTCTGTTGCCGAAAACTCCATCATCAACCCAATGTTCAGCCTGTTTCAGCAGGTATCGGGATTGGATGCTGGACCACACCCGATAAGTCAAACCAAAGATTGTTATAGGTCTGAACTCCCCGACGGAAGAAGCTCCCTCCACCTTGGCCAGCGAGTGGACTTTGCCTGCTAAAAGCTGTCTGGGCCACTCACCGTCAGACTCCGCACGACTGAAAACATGGGTAAGACTGGCAAGGGTGGACCCATCAGCAGCAAGAAGATCATCTCTGCTGACTCCATCAAGCCCAGTAGCTGAGCGCTTTTTCTTCCGTTGGCATTCGGCAAGGAACATTGTGGGGTCAATCCGCAAGTGAGGGGTATGCACAGGGTGCAAGACACGACGGGCAAATCCAATCAACTCAGTCCAGTGGGTGAAGGGGACATCATCATGCCGACACCAACGTTGTTTCCACTGACAGTGAAAGGCATCAAAAATTGTCTGCAAGTCACCAATCTGCTGACGCTGGACCACTGTGGAACCTTCTGAGATTTGAGCAACATCCTCAACCCACAGCTTATCATGGTCTGCATGAATGACGGAGCACAACTGGCCAGCAATCCAAACAGGATGATCCTTGTGGAAGTCCATGGGTTTATCAAGGACAACTGCACACTCATCAACATCCACCGAAGCAACAAGGGCTGAAGTCGAGTGGATCAGTGTTTCAACAGGGGCAGCAGGGGTTTTGGCAACTTCACGAAAGACCAAAGTGCAATCCTGCTCATGCTGGGTACGTCGGTGGGCAGCTTTGGCAAGGTTGAGGCGACTCTCAAACAACCTGACTTCAGCAAGAACTGCTTCATAGATTTGATGAGCCACGTCAGACGGGGGACACCACAGCGGGACGTTCACAGGATCCAAGGGGCTGACAAACAAGCGCGCATGCCACCACTCAGGGAAGGACGGGGAAAAACCAGAAGCCTTCAAGATAGAAGTCCAAAGTCCAAATCCATGAACAGGGTCATTGGTGCCATGTTTCTTGTTGTCAACCCATCGGCAGTAGTTTTGAAGCCGACGCAACTGTCGGAACTGCTTGGCATGAAGAGCAGAAAATCCAAAGAAGGTGGGTTGAACCTCATGGAATTTGCCCTGCCGAAGAGGAAAAATTGCCCGGATGGGTCGGCAAGACCCAGGGAACGCCCTGAGCTTGGGCTTCGCTTCAGGGTTCCCACACCTTCATTCGGTCCTGGGTTTCTTGGAGAGTATGCACTCCAGCCTCGTCATTTGCTCCGACAACATGCTCTGCATCTGCTTGGATTGCATGTCCATTTGGACAAGCATCTGTTGTTGCAAGGACTGTACCTGTGCAGCGCTTTGGGCATGGTTATCTTTGACAGTGCACTCCAAGGTGGTCTGACGGCCGGCAAGCAACTGCATCTGCTGCTCCAGGTCCTGTATCCTGTGCTCCTGACTATCCACTTCCATACGCTCTGGGTTCGAAGGAAGCTTGGCCAAGATGGTCTGTTCAATGCGCTGTTCCATCTCATGGATCACATTGGCGGCCGGTTGAGCTGCAGGAGCAACAGGCATGGCATGAACTGCCTTTGACCACGGATCAGTGGTGAGCCAGGGATCAACTCCAGCAGTATCTGAGGCGAGGCACATCTTGACCGTCTGCGGTTGGCCGACGATCTGCAAGGAGGGATCAGGCATGTCCGGTTTGGCATCTGCACAAGAGATAACCACTTGCCCATGCTGCATGGACAACACCGAGGATGGTGGATCCAGGACGGCTTGTATGGACCACATGAGACCACCAGGCACGTGCTGTGCTGGCTGCAAAGGACGACACTCCCAGCCTCCATCACGAAGCACCTTAGCTATGTTCTTGCGATCACTTCCATATGGCCATGGGCCGCAAGTGAAGGTGCGGCGGCTGCCAGGTGCTAAGAAGACGGCTTCAGGCTTGGCACTCACAAAAGCAGACTGGAAATGCTTGACATGGACCCGGAGACCATAACGGCGGCCAGTTCGGGCAAGGCCGATGCAATGAACTTCACACTTGGCTTTGTGGCTGGCTGCTTGGAAGTCCAACTGCGGCAGCCAGACCACTTGATAGTCACTACTGGGCTTCTGGGCATCCTCAGTTTTGGGCTCAATGTAGATACCATGTTGGCCACTAAGTCCAAGGACCTGCATTTCAAGCGACTTGTCAAACCGGACCATGACTCCGAACATATGGGCTTGATCCCACTTGACTGGTCTACCTGCCTCAGTGACAAATTGGCGTCGGAAGACATCAAGCAAGGCATCGTGAGGCTGAGCTTCAGTCGGGTGCCAACTGCTACAGGAACAATCTTGGCCCGCACGGCAGGTGTGCAAGGCTGGCAGCTTCTGCAGGATATGCTTCACAGGCTTGGCTGCAAAATCCTCCCAGGACCCTTCCCATTGATCTTTGAACACGGTGATGCGGGCGCATGCAACATCAACTGCCAAAATGGCAGGAGTATCTTTGGCTCGGAACTGTGTCACAAGTGCTCCTCCCAACTGAACCAAGACTCCAGTCAGCAACATCGGCTCGTGGTTGGCACTACATCTGGCAGCAAAACGGATGGTGGCCCATTGCAATCCCGTATGAAAGTCCATAGGGGGATTCAGGATCAAAAGAGCAAGTCCAAGGTTTGTTACTCGTTGTCCAGACTGCAGAAAGGGTTGAGCTTCCTGAAAGCTGGCCAGGGCAATTCCACTTGTCAACGGACCAAGTGCAGAGAACTGGATCTGCGCCACAGGCGTGTCATCGGCAAGGCAAAAGGAACCTGGCTCAATGAGCAGTTTTGCTGGGTCTAAATCAGCCGGCTTGGTGGGCTGTAACCTCTTGGCATCAGAGGCAGGCTTTTTGGATTTGGCCCCTTGCTTGGCTGTCGACTGCTGCAAAAGCTCATCTGGTAAAACCAGCCGGATCGGTGGCGAATGCAAGTTGGCCAATGCTTTGAGTGACTTCCATGGCGAGCTTCCTGACACCGCTTTCAAAACTTCAGACTTACCAAGGGACTGCAAGACCAGTTTGGCACGGAGTGCAACCTGTGCAGATGGAACACCATGCGTCTGAAGCAGAGCACCAACCAAAACATGGACATCAGGCTGACCCAAACCCCAACACCATGGTTTCTGGATGAAATCCGCAGCTTGCAAAGCAGCTTCAAAACTCATCTTCAGATCAAGGTGCAAGTCACGGACATCATCTTCAGAGGCAGGCAAGTCTCTGTTGAGCAGGTGGTGTGCAAAGAAGGCAACAGCAGCACTTCCGCAGTAGGCTTTGGCAAAGACACGACGTGAACAAGCAACTGAGAACATCGGCTTGCCCCATGCTTGGCTGATAACTCCATGAAGAGGACACAGAAAGTCCACAGAGGTGTCCTGAAATTCCCAAATGGAAACATGTACATCTGTCAAGCCATCCGCCCACATGACCGGAATCCAGTGCCCATCGGAAAAGACAACTGACACGATAGTGGTGACTCCAGGGTGTTGGGCCAACCAAGTTTGCACCTTCTCCGGTGTACCTGTCTGAAGCCAACCAGTGGCCAGCAAAGGGTCAAGAAAACCGACATCAGAGCGACCAGACATGCGAATCAGTGATGTCACATGCAGGGAAAGTTCATCATCACCCATGGCTGGACCTTCATTGCGAAGGATGGTCAAGCGGGAGCTGAGACGGGCCCCAGTCGAACGCAACATGACACCAGTCTGCAACTCAGAAACCAACGGTGGAATCAGTGACGCCAGCTGCAGACCTGAGAGAGTCAAAAGTCCAGAGAGCATGTCAGGGATAACCTCAGCAGGGCGAGTGTCAACTGGTACGTGCATGGTTTCCTCAGCAGGGACAAGTCCAGAAGGCACCAAGGGGTTGGCAGCACTCGCAGGGGAAGCAGGGGGATCAAGATCCATGACATCAGCACTAGACCTGGCAGGACTGACATTGGGCAGACCAACAGTGAGTGTACGACCCGCAACACAGTCAGAGACCGCGAGTGGATTGCCGGTAAGTCCATCAATCCATGTTCCCTTCATGTCCTGCAGTGTCAAACTGGCCTCAGCTCGGCAGAGATCTTCCAAGGTGGAATGAGCCTGAACCAGTGCTTTCACCTCAGTGCCATCAGGGTACTGCAAACGAACAAACTGTTCCGCAGGAGCAACCTTAGCAACGTTTGGAAACATCTCACGCGCAAAAGCAAAAAGTCCATGTTTGAATTCCTGCAACAATTGTTGTGGATTCACAGCAACTTGATTGGTCATGTGATGGATCTGTTTCATGACACATGCCCCAACCCACAAAGATTGCAAAGGACTGGCAAGCTGACCGATTGCTGCAAGGCACAACTTCAGACTCGGGTGTTCAGCTGACATCCATTCTGATGGCGGGGGCATGGCATTCAGCAGAGCTAACTCACACGGATGCAGATGCCTGTACACTGGTGATCCTTCAGCGACCGGAACTGGCAAAAGCTGGGCATAGATGCCTCTTTGTTGAATCAGATGATCACTGAATTGGCCTCGACATCCACATGGGCATGCAGTGGCTTGGGAGCCCCATGAGTGCAAGCATGTCGGAAGCTTGCTTTCTGTCTGAACCACATACCGACGCAAGGATGAACCATCCAAAGTAAACTGTTGGATTTCATGTTGGGTTAACTGCAACTCTTGCATAACCTCAGGCGGCCACTGCTTCACAAAAGGCATCAGGTCTCGGACATTCAGGACCGGGCTCTTTGGCCACTCCGGCAACGGGACAGAACCAATGCTTTTGTGGGAGGCAACCAACCACCATCGAAAACGATGAGCAGCCCATTGGTCTTCCAACTTAAGGGACACTTCAGACAAACAGTAACCCAACTGTTCCAACATTTGGACCTGGGACCGGACAAACTTGTTTGACCTGGCTTGGGTCACGCATTCAATGACCAGGACTGGACATTGACAAAGGTGGCATGCACGCAGTGTCGCAGGCAAAGTGTTTGACCTTACATCTTCAGATCCCTGTTGACTGCCCCCGGAACTATAAGGCTGACATGCGATACCAGACATCATGCAAAACGGCGGTTCAACCTGCTTCAGAAGGGCTGCAATGCTGGCTGGATCATTGACGTCACCTTCGATGACCGGGATTCCAGGATGGAGAGACCTGTGAAGTTGGACAAAGGGACCCTTCCATTCCAAGCTCGCGACATGGGTGAACCCTGCGAAGGACAGACCAGTACTGGAACAGGCGACACCAGCACACAGTTCAACCAAACGGGTCATAGAAGACACAGGGCACAATCCATGGGCAAAGACTTCAGTGGCATCAGTGACAAGGAGGTCAACGCAGTCAGGCACATCAGTCGGAAAGTCCAACAAAGCACCAAAGACACTCAACCTTCTGCAACCTTGGACCTGTCGGTTCACTGCCCCAACCAACCTAACCTAACCTTCTGACCGTCAGGACAAGAAGTGGCCAAAATGGTGTCTGCAGTAAAAACTTGGCAATCCAGAACCACTGAAATGGGGGAACCTTTTTCAGTCGAAAACCAATCAGGAACAAAGAGGAACTTTGACTCGATGCATACCACCAACGAGAAAAGAACCGCTTGAACCAAAATGTTGCCCCTTCTACTCCTGGCTGTTCACAGACTTCACCAAGGACTACGCCAAGAAGCACGAGCGCCTTGGATATAACTTCTTTTGGCCCTATTGGAACCTGAAAGGAAAATCCTAACTTACATTTTGATACATTTTGGATCATTTTTGATGTTTAAAGGTGTCATAGTTCACTTGGAACAAATTGGTTTCCGGCCAGATCTACATTGAGATATGTTGACTATATATACACATTATTTTTTAGATATACATATATATATGTATATATATATATATATATTATATGTGTATATATATATATATATTATATATATATATTATATATATATTATATATATATTATATATATATTAGTTGTTGGTTTCTGGTTGATGACTTTAGTACACATAACCTACTGACTCTGAGGCATGCAGACTTGTTACTCGCCTTCCTGGAGGAGTTCCTTGGCACTTTTTGGGGCCGGGGGCCACAACACGAGAGCGACATGTGCAAATAACTTGGTGACCTACTGGTTCAACAGGGTTAACTATAGGGTTAACCAGGGTTCACTAGGATAAAGATGATTAAGATGATTAAGTAAGGTTGATGTGGGATGCAACTGTAGCTAATGTTGTTGTTTTAGCCAGCTTATCGCGGGGGGCACCCTACCGCAAGATCGTCATACCGCATTCATATGAACTTTGAATCAAAAACTCCCCGTTGATTGAGTGCTCATCCCCCAAGGTTTGATTCTGTCTATTTTGTTGCTTTCGCTATTTCATCTCCTCAAAAAGCACCTTGCTTTTAGAGTCTCCCCAAGGTTCTAACTTTGAAATCTCCCTCCCAGAAATGATCCAAGGGAAACAAGCTCGTATTCTTTTGGTGGAAATACTTTGGTTTCCTGCAGTTACGGCCCCAACTAGTTATAACTGGGCTATAATATGCTATAATGATGTGTATATATATATAATGATATAGATGTGTGTGTGTGTGTGTTTTCAAATGTTTAATCATGTATATATATATATTAATATATATTAACATAATGATAATATATAAAACTGTATGTACCAATAATGATATATATATATAACCATAGTTATAGGAGGTAGAATTCCATTTGTAACTGTTAGTTGGGCCATAACTGTGTGAGTTTTTCCCTTCTCCATGAAATCCCCCTCCCAATCTGCCTTCGTCCAGGCTGCAGTCCTCCCTCGAGCGGGTTGCCGTGGCCAACGGTGGCGTAGCCTCTGAGGACGTTGCTGCCTTGGTGGGGGCGACAGAGATGCAGGTGCCTTGGAAAGGCGAAGGACTACTCCAATGGTCCAAGCAGATGGGGATTGATACGATGGAGTACTGGGGTTTTCTACATAATTGGATTTGTGTGGGATATTTTTAAGGGATTTTAGGGGATATTATGGATATTTATTATAGATTATTCATGATTATTCTATTGGATATGGGCGTGTTTGAACACATAAATCAGTGGTATCTGTTCTCTATTTTTGGATGGCCATGTGGGGTCAGGGGCCCTGTTTTCCCATCCTCGGCAAAGCCATGTGATATCCAGGTTCCCAACAAGAAATCAATCTTTTCCATTAGGTGTTACTCATCATCGATCATCAATCCATTCTGAAGTAAAACAAAACAGCAAAAACAACAAACATCCATATACATCCATGATTTTCCAGTGATCACACCGATCTGTTCCAAGAATCATCTTCAACATCATTCAACATCCATTTTTCCATTGAGAAAAACCATTTTGTTTTCTTTTCCATTGGATGTTCGCCACAGATGCGACGGATTTGTTGGAGGTGCCCCACACGGATCTTCTGCCCGGGCAAGTGCAAGTGATTTGCGCCCTGACGGAGCTGAGCTCCGATCGTCGATCCATGTGTTTCGGTGAATGGATGGCTTGTGTCACTGGGGATTTTTGACAAATATATGATACATGTGTTGTAAGTATGGATTGATGTAACGTATATGCTACTAGTACGTGTATATGAATGTATATATATATATATTTATAAACATATTATACATGTATATATATATATATATATTATACATATGTATATGATGGATATGTGTATGCTATTTTCGCGTGTATAGCTGCTATAGTAGAGATATACGTTATACACATATACATATTATGTTTTTATCTGCAATGATATATCATATCCTATTTCCAGATTTCCAGCATCGAAGCTTGGCAATGAGATGAAGCAACAAGAACCGGGAGATTGATCCAGAACAGTGGCGACTTGAGCCGATAGGGACGTGGCGAACTGAAGTCATCACCAGTTTTATGGGTGCTGTAAACACTGTAAACCATCCCCAGTCATGCTATATAGGTTTATGGCAGGGTTGCTCACATTAGATCACATTACTGCCAAAAAAAAAGAAGTGCCAGGAGACATCTTCCACCTTGGTCTATGACCCCAAGTTGCAAAGACCCAGTCACCAGGAGTGGGGCCGAAGGGGGCATGGAAGTCACTGTCACTGGCCATTTAGTTCGATGATTCATCTATTAAAAATGGTGATGTTCCATAGCATCCATAGCTATGGCAGCTATGTTAAATTCCTAGCTTTACATGTTCAAGCCAAGCTGGACAGAGTTGGATAGTTTGGTATGAAGCATGACCAGCACGACCTCCAAAATTGTGCAGTTTGGTTCCAGCAGCTACACGATTGTCAAAAAATAAGACCACAATAGCACTGGTTGCCATAAACTGTGCCTCCTGTATGTAGAGCCAATCGCAGCAATGGACCCTTTAGTTAACAGACATTTCTCGCCCTGGGATGTGTTTTAGTTTCTCAATGGACCTCTAATATCCCCACAAACCTTCTGAAATTGTGACCATAAATTGTGAGCCAAGCCAAGAACCCAAATACCTTTGAAGTTTGGATAAAGTCCCCTAGGACGTCGCGAAGATGATGGGAGTTGAAGCTTCAGAACTGAAGGAAGAGGGCCAATTCGGCCTAGTCTACAAGAGTTCTTCGTCCGGTTTCTAGGGTTTCGAGTGGAGTAAAGTCGTAAGGCCTTCGGGAAAGGGATTAAGTATATATATATATATATCATATATATATAATAATATGTATATATATATCATATATATTGTTTATGTGCCTTGTTAAAATTTTGATTATTCAGATTCGGGATTGGCGAACAACAGGTCTTTTTTCCATGTCGGACTAGCTGAATGATTCGGCCCTACGCGGTACAGGTCTGACCAGAGGTGCAGGTGAATCCACGCTACGTTGGTTGGTTCAACGCGGGACCGGCGCGTGCCGCACAGAGAAAACATCAATGGTCCACAGTGAAGAACAACGGTTGAACATCAAACGATATCATAACACTCAACATACCACCATACAATGTCCAGAACCCTCCTTTCCCCCTTTTCTTTGGGGTGTTTCTAAGTAATTATAGTATATGTTCCAAGCAACCGAGGTTTCCCCCTGGTACTGCCAGTGAAGGATGTCTACCGGATGCTAAGAAGCATGAAGAGCATGTCAGAGCGCAGGTTCCATGCCGATCTATGCAGGGTGCTGGGACATCAAATATCTGAAACAGAGTTCCAGAAAACGTTTGTCCGCAGATCTTTTGCAGTCGATTATGGGGTAGCTGACTTTGATTTGGGGACATCACTGTTAGGTCATTGGGCAATTGATTTCTTCATATCCTAGCACTCAAATCCTTCCCATAGTTAAAAATCCCTGGGGAGTGAAACTGTATTATGAATTGGTACAAGTGCGACATTGGTTATACAGGAGAGGTCCGCGCACACCCGGACCTGGAATCTGAAAGCAGCACTTGGACCAAAACCGTGCAAAGTTAATCAACATGATCAACATGCGAACGTTAAACAACATGTGCTCGCCGAAAAGGTTCCTAAAACTCCTACTGGTAGTAAGGATCAAGTTTCCTCACTAAGAAATATATTATCCAAAAATGTCCAATCTCTAGCGTCACCTGATACACAAATCAATGAAGATGCGCTTGGCGGGGAAGTTCCCTGATAAGCGCTGTTTTTAAATATATCCAACCAAGGTCATGCACAATGTGCTGCCCGAAGAGATTCCCTAATCAGGGCCAACGTATCTACTAAAAAACTTTACGTATGTGTTCAAAATCTTTTGTAGCAACCAAATCCAAGCCTCAAACACATGGCCTTTTTCTTGGGGGGTCCAAGGCATTTAGGGCCAATACGAAAGTTATACTAAGTCTTATATTGAAATCATAGAGGACTGACAAACCTTGAAAATTGTGAAAACAACTGCTGGCAAATAGTTCCTATTAATTTCAGGAAACTTAATAAAAGCATGAAGGGGTGAAAGGGAATGACCGATTATATAGACCAGATTTGATTTTGAATGACCAATGACCCATGATCATCCATGATCTAGATCCTGAGACCCCAGTTCGATTGCAAAAGTTTTCCACAAGCTCCAGCTGGGATGAAGAATGGTCCCAGAAATGGAACTGAACGGTCAATTAAGCAGCCCCCTTAAAATTCTTGGAAAAAAATATCGTTTCCCTGTAATTCTTTCCTGGAATCCTTTCCATTGCACTCCATTCTTCATCTCATTACCATCTCAAGTCACAATTATGGGTGACTTATGGGTGACTATCCCATGGCCTAGGAACATGGTGGAGTCCTACGACGCGACGAATGGCCCCTTTGACTGCGGCGATGCAGTTCAGATCCGGGACGGAATCGTGCATGCAGGTGAGATCAGGTGATGATTTGGGTTTGTCCACAGTTATGGCCCGAGATATGGAAGGTGTACAATCCCATAGGGATAACCAGTTATACCATGTTATACCTAATAAACGGCCAGAACTGCAGAAGTGGCCTTATTTGTAGAAATGGGTGGTTTACTACAGCCATTGTTTGCCATAGCTCAAGGGATGATCCGTGGAATGATCATGTACGTTGGCACCATAGGATGGTTGTTTTCAGATTGGAAGAATCAACCCACTTATATAGCACTTCATGGCCAACATTTCAGGTTTCTGACAGAATTTGACAGAGAGTTGTGGTGTACCAAAAGAACCGCGGACAGAATGATTAATAATGCTGAAAAAGTGTGATTAACATTTATTGATGGGTACTAATGTCGGTAATTGACTGAGCTGACTTTTGAAGATGTTTGTCAATGATCGCAGTTGATTTGGGTGAGAATGGTGAGAAATTCGGACAATGTGAAATTAAAATGGGGACAACCGCCTTTACCATCCCTTGTCAGTCTGTCTCAACTTAATGATCTAAATATAGTATTGATAACCCACCTTTATCTGCATTTATGTATCATCCACATTTCTGATCCCAATTGATTGTATAATCAAGATTTTTGAATCATGATTGTCTCATATCCATTATTTGACTTCTCTCTGGACCCATAAGACCTGAACTGAAGTGATGATGAGGAACGTCAAAGTTGCAGTTGTGACATGAGCAACTTTAACTTTAGATACACCGCGATTGGACAGTCAGGTGTACAAAACTCGCCAAACATGTTCTTTTAAACGCTCCTGGTGGCATTTCACGAGACAAGTTGTGCGATTTGTTCGTCAGTGTCATTCCCTGCATCCCTTCTTATCTCCGTCATCATTGTTGACATGAAGTTCATCAGCAGCTTTGGTTTTAATTTGTACCCAGTTACCCTCTGGTAATTTAACATAGCTATGAAGATGGTGATTTATAGTGGATTTTCCCATTAAAAAATGTGATTTCCTATAGTTATGTTAGTTTACCAGGGGGTACCTCGTTTATTCCTATTGATTTTATTGTTCTTGTCAATGTGCACGTCGTTGCGCCATATCTCCTGGAAAACGTGCATCATTCGATGAAGATCTCACTGTGGTTGTCTGCAAACGATGGTCAGTGAGGGTAAGCGTTTGCAAATGACCTGACATGTCAGGTTGATTAATTGCTATCATTTAGTATAATTACATAAGTCAATGTTCGATTTTTTGTATTCATGATAAACCCTAAGAGCGCTATTGTATTGTTCCATGGAGGTGGGTAATGTTGATCTTCTTTAATGAACGTTTGGACGACGCTGATGATGGTGATGATGATGCTCATTATCATGGTCAACCATAAACCCTAATCCCTATACCCCGAAGCTGATGTAAACCCTAGTAGTGACTAGTATTTTCATAGCTTGTTCCGCGTCTAGAACTTGTTTGAGAATGTCGTGTAGTTATTTCTGGCATGGTTGTTCCTATCCATGGCGGATGCCCTTCGCGGCAGGTCCTGGTTGTGAAGATCAGCCGGGTGAGCCGCGGGTGGTGGTTTTCATGACCTACCGGACTGCAGGGATTTCAGATTGAAGCAGCACTAATAATGAGGTTCAAACTTATTCAACCAAGTCAAAATTTAAATCAAAAGTATGGGATTATGGGATATGCTCGGTATATTATATATATATGTATATATGTGATTATAACACCAATGAACCGGTCCAACCCCCCAGACTGAAGCGTTCATCCAAGTGTTCACCTTGCCACCAGGGCAAGCCTTTCGAGGACTTTCAGAGATGAGCATTATGAGTTTACCTTCCAGGCATGCGACTGCATGACACTGCTGGGTCTGGGACTCTGAGACATTCGTTTTTTTGAGAGGTCACACAGGTGAGATTTCAAGGCTGGTATGCGCATTCTGTGTCCTTTTAGGTCGCAGCCTGCAGCATAGGAATATATTACATACTGCCCCCTTTTTTAGCGGTTAATCGCTATACAGGCTATACATATACCATATAGTTGCCATAGCCTAGCAGGTGCCCTGGTTCTTCAGGCCTTTAGCTGGGTTGTCATGCCACGCTGGAGATAGCTGGAGTATCACCCTACTTTCCATGTGCTGTGCTGTCCCCTGGTCATCTTTGTTGGTTACTTATATATAGTCCTATCCAAGATCATAAAACTAACAGTATATATATAATATATATAGTTATATAGTTATCCTCAACTTCTACTTACATAAGATAAGATAAGATGATATTAGGTGGGATTATATAACACCCATTAATAACTAAACACCCTATGTATCCCAAAGCCTGGAGTTAGAAACCAACTTAGCCCCGGCAGCCCCGGCAGCAGGCGAAGTTGTGGGATTGGGCTTCACATCCAGCGATTCCACCGATGGTGGCCTACAAACGGCTGCAGGTGGGGTTTTTCGAGGCTGACCTGGATGGCTGTAATCGTTATGTGCTTATAATGGTTATAGTTACTATAGTTATATGTGGATATAGAAACACCAAATCCAAGTAAAATAGAAAGTCGAGGATTTTAAGTTTCTATTTGCTGTTGCCATATTATCATATAACCGTATATAACCGTATATAACCATTCTTCTGCTTTGTTGGGTTCAACTAGGCACCAACCAAGCGAGCCCCGGGTCCCAGGAAGTCTATCGCTTTGGGGTGGACAACGGCATGGACATCAAACCCTGGACCTACTATCCTCCAGAGAGTGGCCTGGCCAAAAATCCCATTCCAACTAGCCTCCAGCAAACCAAGATAGAGATGTAGAACCATGATTTTGAAGTGGCTTTTGTTGATCTACATTCATGGTAGGTTTTCCATATCTATATTGATATACTTAAAGAATTCGAATGAATCATATACATATACATATATATATATATATGTGTGTGCATAAATTAACCAGAATCTAGAGTTTCTAGTTCTATATCAATATTTGCCCATTGTTTTTTAATGTCTTATGATTTACCGGCGATGGTTCGAAGTGAGGTTTGGAGGCCTGCAAAATGCTATGCACAACTCCTGGCTTGGACGAAATGACTGTGGAACTCTTGGTGGAAGAATGGCGGGAGATGCTCTACGACGCTTGGCGCCAGCAGTGGAAAGTCCTCCGTTTGTGGCGGATTTTCCATTGTCACCATTGAATACCAGAGGGTAAAAGGTTTGGAACTTGACATCACAACTCATCACAACTATATACTTTAGATGAAGAGATCAAGTAACCCATGAAAGATGTTGGTTTGATGTGGTACGATTTTTCTGAGTCGCCTGGTTTTGCAAGTTTTCTGGGGTGTTGTTGGTACAGCAATTTGGGGCACATTCCAGTTCAGTGCCTTTCAATCAGCCAGTGCTTGCGACCAAGGACGAGAATGTACAAATTGCACCTTGCCTTTCAGATCTGTCAACAGTGGCATGGTCCACGAGGTTCAAGAAGTGTCTTCTGGTGGGAATGCCAAAAGATGTTGGACATTTACCCATTTGGAGGTTTCCTCGAAAAACGGGACACCCATGGATACCCCATTTTTCATCCAAAGTTGACCAAATTTTAGTTTTTCACCCATGGTGACTTGGGGATTTACCATTTCAGGAAACCACCATTCAATGGATAAAGCAAAGAGAACTCAACTACCTGCACTCTGAAGGCTGAGTCCGGGTCCTTGACTGTGGATGGAAGAAATCCTGCACCAGCTTGGATGGTTGAAACCATACAAACAATAGGATAAACCATCTACCAACTGCTGCAGGAGTTCTTCCATCCACAGTAGCTATGGAAAATAGCCCATATACTGTAGAGAGAGGCGATTTATCGATAAATTTCTTGATTTTCCATAGCAATGCTGATTTTTCAGTGTTTATGTATGTTTATGTTCTGCACTGGTTTGTTTATGGATTGACCCTGAAGAGTACAGGTGTTGCCTGAGATAGTGAGGAGTTCTATTTGAACATCCTCAAACACACGCATCGTTCCGTGATGTTCCGTGATTTTAGCCAAGTCCTCGAGGCATGAGCTGCAGGCAATGCACTAGGGATTGTGCTTGCCATGAATATTTCTGTTTCCGGGTATTTTGTTTGATTTTTTTGTTTGGCAGGTGGACGGGTTATATGTTTTAGCTATTGCTAATGAGGACGTACTTCCAACCCAACGAAGAATTATATAATATTCTATATATATATAATCACCACCCCTTTAGGCCAATTGAAAGCAGGGGGACGTATCAAAAATGTAGATTGCAATTTTGCCCCCCTCGGAAATTTTACGCAGGGGTCTGCTAATTGCAAGTGTGGACCCCCCCAACGTAGTGTTCCGAAGCCTAAAGTTTTTACATTTAGAGAGGGGGGGGGGTGAAAAATAAAAGTACGTAAGAGACCGGTCACTCCGTACCCCCCTCCGAACCCCCCCGAACCTACCCCCTGCGGACATTCTGGAAGGGGGGGGGGGAGGTAACAATTGTAAAATGTTTGACGAATTGTCCGAAAACAGTCTCTGAGAAGTTTGCAGATGTTTGTAATCAACCTATACCAAAGGTCCATATTTCCTTGCAGAAACAGCTGAAAGTAGATGATAAAATCAAGATAAACCCATGTAACATCATGTAACCATCCTACATCTAAGGTCCAAATTCACTTGCAGAAACAGCTCAGAGTAGATGATAAAATCAAGATAAACCCATGTAAGCATCCTACATCTAAGGTCCTTATTCACTTGCAGAAACAGCTCAAAGTAGATGATAAAATCAAGATAAACCCATGTAAGCATCCTACATCTAAGGTCCTTATTCACTTGCAGAAACAGCTCAAAGTAGATGATAAAATCAAGATAAACCCATGTAAGCAGGTTTCCATGGCTGAGAAGGGAAGGTATCTAAGGCTAGCAGTGTTTCCATGGCTGAGGTAAATCAGGATCAAGAGAAGAGTGCCCTGATGGACGCGTGAGACACGCGGGGTCCATCAAAAAGATTCGCGGAGTGTGGGCTGGTGCTGGTTGCATTTTTTGATCAAGGCTCTTGAGGAGTTAAGGATCCAAACTGCAGCGTTGGGTGACACATTGTGATTTGACCCGTCCCAAAGGGCAACATGAGTCAAATTAAGGGTAAAACATGGAATACATCAAAAAGTGGTCAGTTGTTTCCTCCTCCAGTGTGGTTAAGTGGTTAATGGACCCGAGATTTTCCCAGTAGTATAATATGTGTGTATACATATATATATATAATTATTCTTGTCAGTGTTTACCCACATCCACAATCTGACCACCTCCCATGTCCTTTCCCCACAAATGTGCCGTTCCACCTTGCAGGGCAGCGCGAGGAGGATCAGTACGAATTGATCATGGCCCGGTGCCCCGAGCTCGTGGCTTGAAGTCGTCACCGTTTCATTTGTCCCTTGGATTTCGTCGGAGGTTCCACGGTTCCACTTCAGCTATCAAAAAATATAGAGATAAATCGCACACACACATAATATATATATATATATATATTATTATGTATATATGTATGTATATATTATATATTATATTTTCTATATGTGTATATACACACATATACATAAACATACCTTGGAGGGAAATGACAGGTGTCGCATCAGCAGTTTCTCTCATGACGCTCACAGGTGATGAGACGCAGTTTTCGAAGGTCCCCAAGGGTGTCGTTGGATGGCCGATTCAGGGTCGATGGATGGCCATGGATTCAGGTTGAAGATGCCGATTTTTTTTAACGCCCCCAAATGGTATATGAATATAGATATACCATATACAAATGGTATATAGATAAATTGTAATGCTGAATGAATATCGCTTAGATACTATAGATGAATATAGAAGAAGTGTGCCTGAGCGCCTTAGCGCAGTAGCATAGCTGAAACGCCATGAAACAAAGTTTTTTTTGCAGCCGCTGGAGTCATCGAAATATGCCTACTTCCATTATATGTACAGTAGTATTGTAAAAGGAAGTAAGATTTAAATAAACATAAATAAACCATTCAACCACCGGATCGCCGGGGGTTGCAGGCACTTCTTCACTTTCTTCATCCTGTCCATGGCTGTGTTGAGTGGGTCCGAGCCTGATCCGATAGCTATCGGCAAGGGGCTTGCAATGGCGCACAGGGTATTGAAGCCACCAAGCTGTTGCTGCCCATGGCCCAAGATGCTGACAAGATTAATGGTCACTGGACCAGGCACAGCAAAGTTTTGTGACATCAGGAAAACCAAATCAGCATGTAGCACCTCTTAGATATCATAGTTTCATAAATTTTCATAATTTCATAATGTTTTACTGTTTTAATCATGTTCATTTGTGGTGCTTCTCTGTTAGCCTCACCCAGATCTGGCAAAATTCTCATGGTTTTGATGTGCATTGCGTTGTGCCAGAAATTATGACTGAGCAGATACAGTCATTGTTGCGTCACTCGATGTGCGCCGTCGTTCGTGCCATGGCGGCTTCGTACTACTGAGCCATGTGGGGACCAGTGATTTTTGTGGTGACCCGATCGTCATTTTCATCATTTGATGTTTCTCTATTGATTTTTGATGTCTGATGATTTTGATCATGTTTTTTTTGATACTTTCTTGTGATCACCCACAGTTTCAGTCGGATGTTGGATTCTTCGATGCCAGGTACTTCTTTGCATGCTCACAGCATTGGCGGTGATGCTGTTGAGCGAAATCAAAGGATTGCACCTTGACAGAGGTGATGTTGCTGGGGCTCATTGACATAGGGGATGGGTCAAGTTAGCTATGAAATTACCATATGACTCGGGGAATAATGGGTCAGGTTATATACATATATGAGTTACCATGTTTTTCTGGAATAAACATCCATTAGCCAGCTATTTTGAGGTACCCAGGGTATCAGGGTTTTTGACCCACAAGCATATACTTTGTGATTCAATGAGTCCAATATGTTCCAACCAGTCCATGTGTTTCCTTCTCCACCCCTGGTTGGATTTCACTGAAGGTTCGATTTCACCACAGTTGGCACAGTAGTTGCACTGTAACTGCACTATTTCGCACAGCTACCCTTCACGAATGTGCATATGCTGCATACTGGTCGAAACAGATGGTAAACAAATCGGCATATTTGAAACGGCATGTCCAAAGTATTCATGATCGCGCCGCACAGAAGATGTAGGGTTGTTCGGTTCCAAAACGATTGACTCCCAGAAAAAAATGGATAGTTTGGCGTCACAGCAGCCCAAATGAAAAATAAAAATAAATCCAATCCATTCCAATCCCTATGGTGATAAAAATCACAATCAGCTCAGACATCCCATAGTGATAAGAATCAGCTTATTAATGCTTCTTCCACATCTATCAATGGATTGGTTTCAAGGAACATGTGCAGGAAAGCCCAATATCTCAACAGAGACGATGGCTTCCAGTAGATTCACCCTTGAACCAATCCATGGCCAAGGCGAGAAGCGTTGAGACGAGGATGGTCTGCACCAGTCAAGACGTGGATCCGCGGATGGGCAAACCCTGGATACAGCTGGTTGATTAGTTGATTAGTTGGTTGGTTACCTAAGTTATAGTAGTTTATAAGTCTATATTAGTTGGTTGAAATTTATATTATTTTACATTATAGTTATACAATATTAGTTGATTGAGTTTGATTCCCTTCCACCATTGGTCCTTAAGTGTTATTCTTGTTTTGAACATGCTCATGAACGCCCTTTGGGTTTGCAAGAGGATTACCATGTTAGGACGGGAAGTCGGTAGTTTGAAGTAACTTTGTGTTTTGCACGCCCATTGGCAATTTGGTGTTTGAAATGGAGAATCGTGCTGTATCGAACGGTTATTATATTGGTTGTCAGCAATTGCTGCAATTTCTAAGCTAAGCCTACCAGGAACCCAAAACCGAGCATTGCCACTATTTTCTGTTGACCAAACCAATTTATATAACCAAATTCACCGTTCCTGGCTAGGGGAGGGACATGTCATTGCATTTGGTTGAGTTTTTTTTGGTTGGATGGTGAACTAATTATGTCAGCATATATTTTGTTTCAGAATGACATCCTCACTGAAATCACCATGAGAAACTCCTGGCCGCTGAGGATTTGCAAGCATGTCTAGCTTGGAATCCAGTGGATTAACGGCCAATGTTGACAAGACGTGGATTAACACAGGCGCCTGGGCCGCCTGGGATATTCACCTCCTTGGGGTGAAGGGATGTGAAGGGTAGGTTCGCTGGGGATTAACCCAGCAACAGGGGGTAGAAATGTTACGTAGGTAAGCCCTAGTGAATGATGTTTTTTGTTCCTCCCCGAACAGCCATATATTTCTATTCAATAGGATACAATAGGAGTTATATAGATTTATAATGAACAAGTTGCTGAACAGCAAGCTGTTTGCAAGCTATTTAAGGCTAGCTTGGAAAGTGTTGGTATAGATATCACAGGCCAGTGGTAAGGTTATTATACATATCAATATGAACAAGGTGCTGATGCTTCTGGTTAAGCAGGCAGCTGCTGGTTTCAACGCCTCCAGGGTTTTTTTCCAGCCTTCCCGCAATGCTACCTTGTATGACATTGACACGCCTATCCTTTCACAACTTGGAATCTCCAACATCTTCAACGACTGAGAGGGAAACTATTCTTCATGGAGTCATTTTGTCAGTTTGTTGGTGCGCCCAGCTCCCTTTGCGCTTTGCAGCTTTCGTGCTTCTATTTTCATGAAAAAACATAGGTATCATTCATTTGAAGTTGATACTTTGTCATGTGTCCTGTCATCCAGATGTTTTCTTCTCTACCCATACGATTAGAACAGGGTACTCTTATCAATCCATGTTTTTTTTTGATATTTAAATGTATACATATATATATATATGTGTATTGCATTTACGCTCTGTTTTCGAATCTCTACAATCATGGAGATTCAGCCAGCCCCCCAACAAAAGGGATTTGTTGTGACCTCGAAAACACTGCAGGAGCGGACAGGCGGGAAGCCGCGATTCAGAGCACCCGGACAGGCGTTGTGGAAAAGAAACGTTTCAGCAGGAGCGGCAGGTCATTTTTGTAGGCCTTGGTAAACTTCAAGATGGAGGAACACCTTGGTGTTTTGTGGTACAAAATGGTGCTGTAATTTAGATGGGGGCTTCTTGATTTATCTATGGTGTTGCGGCGTTGATCTTGCAAATTCATGATGCCGTGCTGCAGACATGCTTAAACTCACCCAGATCCAAAATTACATACCCTTTGTCTAATTGTCAATTAACATATGTGTTATTCATCGGTTGCGCGTCAGACATGACCCCCCACCTTCTAACACAAACATGGAATATCATCGGGTTTATGCATGAGGGGCCCCCCATCACCGAACAGAAATTTCACAGCGGCTTGAATCACTTCTCCATGCCCAACGATAATTATCCTTCCCCACTGGTTGGTCAATAGAGCTGTACTCCCCCTTCCTTTCGCAAGCAATGAGTCCGATAGGGAATTGCCATATCATTCACCATATCACCATTAAAAAACATATACCAAGTCATTCACCAAATCATCATCATCATCATTATATATATATATATATTTCTATATGTATTCACCATACTTCAAGTCATCTTCACTACAATCATTTTATCGTGGCGCCGAGGGCGACGTCTTTGTTTTGCCCCCTGTCCATCGATATGTTGGCGGGACGCCTCTCCATCAACGTCACAGCGCCTCGGCCTGGTTGCCAGGTGTTGTTCCCCATGATTCCCCATGATCTATTTGATATGTTATAGTTCTATGGCCGTATTTGGATATATATATATATAGAGAGAGAGAGAGACACACACACACATATATATATATATATTATATTTGGATATATTTGGATATACGGATAGCTTTAAGGGAAGATTTGGAAGCCCCTGAAGGGCTTCCCGGTTTTTTTCCACGAGTTTTTTTGGTTCCCATTGGTTAATTCATCATATTTGGGTCATCTGTAAGATTCTATCAGGACTACGTTTCATCTCATTTTTTGCCCCCCCCAACGCAAATCCAGGTTTTGTTGAAGGTTTAGCATAGGTTAGACATAGCTGTGCAAGATTCCAGCAACACTGGGCATTGAAGGTTGGTAGGAAACCCATACTAAAGGGACGATACTGTAGTTCAAAAAGGTCACTGTTAGTGGGTGAGGGCTGCGTCCAAATGATGGGTTTCAAATTCTGATATTCAGAAGTTAACCATATTGAAGCACGGAAATGATGTTTATATAGAACTCTTTAGACCCCTAAGAAGGGGTTGAAATCAGTTGAAATCATGATTGCTAGGGAAGTAGAAGAACCCCTCTAAATTTTCCCAGTTTCTTGGCATCGGCCAGGTGCTTCTGTCCATGGTCGCCTTCTCCGTGCAAAGGTGGGGAGAAATGTGATGAAGGAATATGGCTCAAGAGTATGGGCCCCTCAACCAGATGGTGTTATATTATGGTCATATAATGGTCATATAATGGTTTTATGATGGTCATATAATGGTCATATAATGGTCATATAATGGTCATATAATGGTCATATAAAGGTTTTATGGTGGTCATATAATGGTCATACAATGGTTTTATAATGATGGTTATTATATGTGCAAAACTGACCACCTTTTGGACGCCCTGCTTTGGCGTCCATGACAGCTTGACCAACAGCGATATGAACCACCCCCAAATGGTATAGGTTTATTGGTGGGTTTAGTGCTAATCAAACATGGCAGAATGGACAATCCCCCATTTATAGACTATTTTTGCCGTTAAAAACTACATTTGTAAGGGATTTCCCATTCATGTTTGATGACACCGTTGCGGGTACCGCAGACATTGCGATGCAGATCCGCAATGACCCAGGCCTAGTGCCATTGAAGCGGTGCCGTACAACACCATTCACGACATCTTCGTGCAAGTCATCCGTCAAGTTCTGGGGAGATGGCATGTAAACATTTCTTGGTGATAGTATATAATAATGGTATGTAATGGTGGTTTCTGGTTACCCTCAGCCATGGAAAATTGCAATGTTTAATGAATTTAATGGGCCAAATGGGTGATTTTCGATGTCAAAGACGTACGTATTAAATTATAAGAGGGTACTTGTTGGCAATATGGTTATGTAATAAGTTATACAGTTATACAGTTGGTTATTATTATATACTGGATTATTATGGGTACTAGTGGTTAGGAATGTGCTAAATCATGCATGATGGAGTGATTATGATGGTTCCAATCCGGAAAAACCAGCAGCTGGAACGCTTCAGAACAGCCCTTTGTGGGGTTCCTTGAATGCACAGAGTGTCAGATGTACAGCAACCGTTGAAACAACGGACAAACACACATAAACAAGCACTCTCCAACTAATGCAATGATTATGTTATTGGAATATCATGGGCATCATTGGTATGTTTAACGACTTCCAGTGACTTCCAGTGCATGGCTATAGAATGTTTTATAGAAAATGCCATGGCCCGAATAGGAGGTACCAATGAGTGTTTCAAGCCTTTCCTCGTTCAGCAGGTGATGGGACCCACCTCCCGCGGCACGGCGGCAGGTGTGCACGCTCTTAACGGCCACCCTGTCCCTCTGCAACCTGGCCACGCAACTTACGCCTGAGACACCCAGTGGAGAGGACTGCTTGACCTGGAACATGTTTTTCTGTCACTTAGACCGACCCTCCAAGCAGTCATAAAAATTCGGAAAAGATGGCAATAGTCCCATAGTACTGTAATGGGTATATTATCCAATTCTTCCAGGTACTTGGAGGTTCTAGGTATGTTTAGGACTGTTTATGTGTTCTTGCATATTCTTGCCCGTTTTCACATGCATTTGTCAGAAGGTGTATCCACAAGGTATGCACACTCTTGAAATTGGAAAATTGTCCTTCTACCTCCTTGGTCCGAGAAGTGTATGAACCAACATACATGTTTTTCAACCAAAGAAGTAGTAATAAATTCCACTGGAAATCGGTACACCCTCCTATCTATAAACTTAGGATTTTGACATATTTTGACAATAATGGGCCAACAATATGTCAACGATTTCAACACAATTGCACTCCTCTTCTGGGGTGTATGTTTGTTGATCCAGCGTTATACCAGCATACTTTTTGGATGCATCACCGGCACCCAAAACGTTTCCCAAACGAACAGCTGCGATTTGAGTCAGACCGGAGGTGTTTCGAGATGACAGAGGGCTGCGATGAATGCGTTCGAGAGGAGAACGGCCGGATACGGCCGGATACGGCCGGATACGGCCGGCATGGCGGTGAGTTTCATTGGGATTTACTGTCATTTCATGGGGTATACCATATATTTTACCATATATTTAGTGGGATGTCCTGGGGTAGAATCATTAATATTCATGAATAGGATTTAACGATGGCATAGATATTTACAATCATATCCAATCAATTCAACCATTTGATATATTCGGTGTGTCTGACACTGGGGCGTACCCCCCAAGTTTTTCATGATCCACTAGCAGATCTAGGGGTTCTCCCCTAAATTGTCAGACTGGGACCCAGATGTTTCATCTCATACAGATTCAAATCATATCAATGTTCTCATTGAGGCTCTGGCCCAGTGCTAAAAAATGCGAGTTTCATTGTGACCTCTTCCAGTTGATGTCAACAATTTTCTTGCTGGTTGAGCAACACTGCTGCATCCTGGGAAGGACCTGCCGGAGCTGTGTGCTCTTGGGTCCTGTGGTTCCAAGGTGGCACCGCGACCGCGCCATGGCCAACCAATCCCAAAACATCCCATCTTTTGCTAAGCAATCTGAAGCCGTCTCTACATGATGTGAGGAGTGCGTCTCGATCATTGTTCTTTTACATATATATATATATTTATAAATATATATATATATAAATATATATATATATATAAATATATATATATAATATATATATATATAATATTATATATATGTGTGTGTTCTTCCCCACCTGCCAGGTGAGGGTTGTTAGATTTTATCAGAGCGCATGCCCGCCTCCTCCTCCTCCTCCGCCTCCTCCTCCTCCTCCTCGACTAACTGTCCTCCTCGCCCTCCTCCTCGCCTCCGCCTCTTCCACCTCCACTTCCGCCTTGCCAACCTTGCCAACTCGTCGCCAAGCTCTTCGCCAACTTCCCAGCTCAGTGCGCACTGCTGGACGTCCCAGCTCAGTGTGCACCGCTGGACCTCAACCTGCGAGCTGCCCAGCTCAGTGTGCACCGCTGGACCTCAACCGGGGACCTGCCCAGCTCAGTGTGCACCGCTGGACCTCAACCGGGGACCTGCCCAGCTCAGTGCGCACCGCTGGACCTCAACAGCCAGATAGAATGCCAGATAGAATGCCAGAAGATATGCCAGATAAAATGCCATGAGATATGCCAGATAGAATGCCAGAAGATATGCCAGATAGAATGCCAGAAGATATGCCAGATGATATGCCAGATAGAATGCCAGATAGAATGCCAGAAGGTATGCCAGATAAAATGCCAGATAAAATGTCAGATAGAATGCCAGAAGATATGCCAGATAGAATGCCAGAAGATTTGCCAGATAGAATGCCGGAAGATATGTCAGATAGAATGCAAGAAGATTTGCCAGTAAGAAAATGTATAAATGTCATGGTGGGGATCACACGAAGTAAAGTAATTATTGATACTTTTCTTTTATCTCGGTTGATGTTTCCAATGATGCATCAGATTTGTCAAATGGACATGTGGCATACTGATACTCCATGTGGAAACATCATTATACAAACATTAGAGAAAATTTACGGGGACCATAGGGGAGCCTCTAGCAGTTTCGTAGACAATGGAAACCACCATTAGTTTACCATTTACCGATGTTTACCGTGATTTACCTTCGGAAGCTAGGCCTTTTTCATGGTTTTTCATATCCATCTCGCTATGTCGCGATACTGATGGCTTACCCTCCGCCTCCGCCTTTTTCAAACATAGCGTGCTGGAAAATCTCCCATTTATAGATGATCAGATCAAAGGGGATTTCCCATTGCCATGTTTGATGACACCAGAGGCTTATTCTTCACAACTCTGCCATGCATTTGGCACAGCCATCACTGCAGGTCTTGGACTGCTACTTCTTCTACACGTCCGGGGCCTCAGGTCAAGGCTGTTTCTACACGCGGCAGGTGCATTGGGGTCTTACTTTCCCTGAGTCATGGTTTGAGCTTTGTTTTTGTACTTGTGTGTCTGTCTATAGACGTGACAGGTGCACTTGTACTCCCTAATTCGTTTTGTTTTGCTCGTTTCTTTCTGCTGCTCGCCCCTCCTTTTTTCTGTCCTCTTGTCATTTCGCCTTACTCTGGTCCTGCGCAATTTGCCTCTCTACTGCTGTGTCTGTGCTGTCCTCCTTCTCCTTGTCTGTTCTGTGCTTCTTTGCTTGTGTTGCCCGGTGGTGCTCGTGTCTTCGTGTTTGTTTTTTGCGCCGCGGACTCGTTGTCTCTGTTGGTTTTGTGCTCCTCGCTGTGCTTGTGCGGGCCTCGGTGTTTCCCGTGTTGCCTGCCCTCCCTTGCTGTGCTTCCTGCCTCTGTCCTTCTTGCCTCCAAGGGGTATGACGATGTTTCCTTGTTGGTTGGCTGCAAAGGCTGTTATTTTAGCTTTCAAAAAGGTGGCGATATTCAAAAGTCTGGATGAAGGGTTTTCTACCTTCTCAATGGTATGTGCCTGTCTCAACCCTCCTCCTGTATCAAAGGTGCTTTCTTTTTCCCCTCCTCAAAGGTCCTGGTTTCCCAACCGTATTCCTGGAAAACTTTCCCATGTTCGAAGGATTTCTCAAGGCCAAGTGTTTTCCCACAGTGAAGGTTCGCGCTCAAGGCTGCCAAAAAAAAATAAAATAAAATAAAATCCCGGAGGCAAACCCATACCCCGGGGAAGAACACTTGCGACCGAACATTGCAAATATGCATAAGACATGCTATGTGTTTTTCTCAATGGTATGTGCCCGTCTTAATTTTTTATTTTATTTTTTATTTTTTCTCCCCGGAGGTCCCGGAGAGGAACCCTTGGAATTTCTTCCCCCGGAGGTCCCGTAGAGGAACCCTTGAAACCCTTTTGCTCGTTTTTTTCTCTTCGTCGTTTTTCGTCGTCCGTCGTGTTTCAACGGGGATCCTTGAGACAGACACTTGACCTGAGCAAGACCACAAACGAGAAAGTACCTTGGCGCAGACCTTCGAGATATGAGTCATGAGATATCCAGAGATGTCCAATTATGTATATATCAAACTTGTGTCTAAGATATGGGAATGTATTGGAACATCCAAGTCCAGTTGCCGAAGCCAGATGTTGATCGACAAAGAACCTCTAACACAAAGCTCAGATGCAGATGACAAACCAGACCTTGATCACTGTGGAGAGGAACGCGCCCTAAATCTCTCGACCCATCGCTTTGCTGGCCCTTGGACGGTCTTGTGGCCAAGCCTTGTAGGCTATGGCTGTCGGATACCTCGATTTCATGTCCTCCCTGAGGAAAGTCATTTGTGGCAGCACTGCTTTGATACCACGTTGTATAGAAAGCACTGGACCAAATATGAGGTAAAGCACTGGAAGTGGAAAAACACAATTATACATTTTGCTTGAGGACATGTGGCCGCAACTCGCTATCCTTCCATTGTGATGTATATATGTTTTTTTTTCCGCATGAAACGCATGACATAGGTTGGCCAACGTCCCATGCTTGCTGAAACTTCTCTATAGTGAAACTCCATGTTTTTTTTTCTGTCCAACTCCTGCACCATATTTAAAACCCCTCCCGGCTGGTGATTGCCCCCTACTTGTTTTACTTGGGGATTATCATCATCCATGGAAATCCAGTTCTGAACCAACCAGGAAGGACGTTGCTCGTGTTGTGTTTCCCATGATATGTTCATCAAACATGTCCATCAAGTATGCCCATCAGATATTCCCATGAAACATATTCCCATCAAATATTCCCACTACATGGGCGGTTCCAAAAATGGGGGTACCCCAAAATAGATTGTTTATAATGGACAATCCATCTATAAGATTCTATAAGTGGATGATTTAGATTGATTTAGGGGTACCCCCATTTATAGAAACCCCCATATCACCATGATACCACCATTGTTGTTTCCGAGGTTGCTACTGCTCTTAGTCTTCATCGACTTGGGTTTGTTGCTTTGGCACCTCGCCGGTGTGGCACGCCGGTGGTCACCTGCCCGTACCAAACACCGAGAAACAGAGGATATTTCGTAAAAGTGGGACCCCCATCACATCATCTCTAGCAAGATGGTTGAAGTATGTTGAAGTAATATATTATATATATATATATATATTTGAATAAATATATGTGTTTGTATATATATATATATATTTATGTGTAAATATATATGTACATTACTATGTTTAAGTTTTGATGCGTTTCCGAGATCCACGTGTTCTGATTGGTGGGAAACAAGTCTTCACCTCGTCATCATGAACGCACTGTCACATTTTCTCAGGATGGGTAGACTTAAAAACACCCATCCCAGAATTGGTTGAAGAGAAAACTTCCAGGGCCCCCAGTTGAGTTTCTTAACTATTCAACCGGATATTTATGATGCTTAAAAATGCTAATCATTTGGCACGGTTTCACAGGAGATGTTGACAACGCCTCTGCTTGCCGCCAAATCATTGCACGGTCACAGTGGTGCACCCATTGGCTGAGAGAAAATAGTCATGAACAATGTCAAACGAATCTGTTCATGTGACTCCCTAAACCCATCCATGGAACCAACCGCACCCTGCTTTCTTTGATGGAAAAAATGTGTTTCCCCATCAGGTTTCCCTTTGAACCGACCCATGGAGACACCCAGACATGTCCATGTACATGTCAGATCATGTCAGTTTTCTCAGGGCTCGACACCTACGCAGTGCAGAGTTGCGACACTTTCGGGCACCTTGAAATTGTGCAGTTGGGCGCGGTGGTACGGGGCATCAAAGATTAGTTTTAGCAAAACTATCCGAAACTCAACTAGTTGGTGGGTTCAACTGCTACAGTATGTTGTATATTGTTTGTTTGGGATGATGATGCCAATTGTTTTTTTTGGTGGGAATTGATTGCTGCCGTGAACTTGGTAGCATCAACCATGTTTGATTCCCAGGTAGACGGTAGCTGACAAGTCTTGCAACTTCAGTACATCAAGTCCATGTAGAGACCCACTGAGTACCTAGAAAAATATAGCCAATTCAGCAATTATGTTTGGATTTTTACCCATTTTTATCGGACATTTTTTTTTTTGAAAACAGAACCCGCACCTGCCCTAAGGCTTTATGCAAGGATTTGGGTGCCGAACAAGGCGAGCACTGGACATCCTCTATACCATGGCTGTTTGATCTACCCTCTGGTTCTTTAACATAGCCATGGAAAATGACCCATTTATAGATGGTTTACCTATAAAAAAATAGTGATTTTCCATAGCTATGTTAAATAACCAGAGGGTATATGTTTTATTTGGGTGTAGTTGCCTTGAAACAAGCATTAGCTTGCATTTCTTGCAAGCTAAGGATACCTTGTTCGCGGACAAAAAAAAGCAAATCGGATGAAAGATATTAGTGATATTGATGTTTTAAGTTTCACCTTTAGGAGGGGCCTAAACTTGATAAAAAAGTGGGACCATTTT